TGTCTGCCCCTGTAGAATGGTCTGCCTGTTTTGAATTGTCTGCCCCTTTTGAATGGTCTGCCTATTTTGAATTGTCTGCCTTATGATTTATTGCCTGTCCAGGTTGTATTGTTTGCCCCATGTTAAATTGTCTGCCTGTTTTGAATTGTCTGCCCCTGTTGAATTGTCTTGCATGTAGAATGGTCTGCCTGTTTTGAATTGTCTGCCCATGATTTATTGCCTGTCCTTGTTGAATTATCAGTCCCGGTTAATTGCATTAGGTATTATAGCTCATGCCGGAAGTATATAAGATAATTACCCTCTACCCCTCACAAGACACGCCCACACTAAAACACACACACACAACACACACACACACACACAGCTACATTGTCCACATCTGGCATCTTTAGCTATCAGCCATGACGTCTCTAGCTAAGTCGGTTAACACGTCTCTCTATATCCGAGCTCCTCATAGTACTCTAGTACGTCAGGACGTCTCTCTATATCCTAGCTCCTCATAGTACTCTAGTACGTCAGGACGTCCCTCTATATTCGAGCTCCTCATAGTACTCTAGTACGTCAGGACGTCCCTCTATATTCGAGCTCCTCATAGTACCCTAGTACGTCAGGACGTCTCTCTATATCCGAGCTCCTCATAGTACCCTAGTACGTCAGGACGTCTCTCTGTATTTCTAACCTCAGTAGAGAATGCCCACATCCGTCATTATATCAGCCACCACGATGTAACACTAAGCAAAACGTGTTATAGTCCCATAATAAAGTGCCCTCAACTACACCCATCCCTATCATAACATCTCTTAAGCCCTTACCCTAACCCAACTGATTCCAAAATTATCCATTCGCGTCCCTTTAAAAAAATCTTGGCACAAACCCTAAAATAACTCACTAATCATCCACGAACACAAACGTAGAAAGAGACACACTGGCACACATGTACATGATTTATATACATGTGGATGTATTATACATGTAAGTATAAAGTTGTCCCAACTCACGGTCTCTGTATGTAGGCCATTGGTGTACATTTTGTGGTCTAAACTTTGCAGTTATCGTTAAGATTGTACATATCATTTAAGTAACCTCATTTTTATTTGATATTCATTTTTTAAATTTTTTTTTTTTTTTTTTTTTTTTTTTTTTTTTTTTTCCCTTTTTTTTTTCTTTATTATTATTAATTCAGTTGTTTTAAACCTTTAAATCAGTAATAATAATTTATTTGATAGATTTTACACAGCATCAAAGACATGAACATCAATTGCATATATAATAATCAAATGGAGAAAATAAAATGGCATTAGAACTAGACTAAAATAAGGTGTGCAAACTAGGTTTCTCTTGACTGCTTAGTTTACTGTGCTCTGTCCTTAGCTGAGGAGTCAAAAGTTCACATTGTAGACAGAAATAAAAACCACCGTGGGAGAAGTGTCTCTGTAATACACATTACTGATCTATCATTCCAAAACTTTCCATGACATAAAATTGACCCTTGGCAAAGAGGGCACGCTACCTTGAAAAATCCGCCAGTCCGGTTGAGTGGAGGGAAGTGTGTGTGTGTGTGGGGGGGGGGGGGGGGGTGAGGTGTGTATCTCTTTCTACCATTCAGGTTGTGCACTTTTAAAAACCTGGGAAACAGAAGACTGTTCTAATGTTAAATTACTGGGGGCTGATCGAGTGATGTTTTGCTTGAGACTGTCGATATTAATTATGCATCTAGTTTATTTGCTTCTTCTGTAGTTCCAATTTTAGTTTCCTGTAAAAGTAGGATGTCAATATTGTGTTTATTTATTATGTTGTTTATATAATGTGTTTTGTCCCTAGCCCCCCCTGATGTTCAATGTTGCCAGAGTTAGCATGAATTATTTGGGGTTTTCTTTCGAACATCTGTTTCTGGAGGGCTGGATGGTGGTGGTCTTTTAATTCCAAACCTTCCAGCCGTTGGTTTGCTATCCCGTTGGGCCCTGGTCACGAACCTTTGAGGTGGCTTTACTGTAGGTAATTGATTTTTACTTGAACTGATTGCTTGACTATATGACAGTTGACCTGATACCTTTGTTGCTGACATACTTTGTGAGCTTTTAATTTCCTTTAGCGGTTTCGTTATGTTTTCTGAACTAGAGTTATCTTGAAGAATATTAGTTATTCATTTTTTAAAAACTTATTATCTCAAGAATTAATTTTGGCCACTGAACAACCAATTTTAACTGGTCAACATAAAGTATTTATTACAGTATTCATTACAGTAAAGGGTTTTGTAATTTACACTTCAGTCAACTGATAACTGTAAAAAAAAATAAAAGGAAGAAAGTTTCAAATCATGCTTCTAGATTGTCAAATTTAGACATTTACTTTTGAAAATATACAATTATCCTGATTTTCATTTTGTAACTCTTGGATTCAAGATATTTAGACTTTTGTGAAAAGAGTTATAAGTTTTTTCCCTTGTTTGTTTTAAATTTGTATATGGGAAGTAACTATTATAGTATATCCGCTTTTAGTGTGAAATCAATCTACATTTAAACTTATGCTGTAAATAACACAAGCTACCAGAGTACTCATGTACAATGTCAGAAAAGTAGAACGCAAATATTTTATGAACGATTTAACATAATATTTTGCATTATATTAATACTGGAATTAGATTTATAAACACATTTGTTCTCGAGATTTTATATACAGTCGGATTACATACATTTTCAATTAAAAATATGTTTTCAACATTATATTGTATTTAAACTATATTAATCAAAATATTAATCAAAAATGTATTATTGAATAGTACAATTACATTAATGAATTCGTATGCATATATCTGTATATTTTACAATGCACATTGATATTGATGTTTTCGCTTCGCTGATTAAAAATACCCTCAACCCTAAGCGAAACCCGAACCCAACCCAAGCATAAAATTCAACATACGGATACGTTTAGCATCTACATGTCTACCGCTTCCTGGTACCGCATAACGGAAAAGAACCCTGAAATCTCAAAGCTCAACACAATAACAACCAATCAAAAAAAAAAAAGAAACAAAAAAATAAAACAAAAAAAAAACAAAACCCTCATCTTTGAACCGATTTCCGTATTTATATTGTTCGTCTCCGGAAAAAAAAATCCCAATTAAGTTGGACGCTTAATTGACCTGCTGAAACAAATACACGACTTCAAGTTAAAGACGTCTCTCCACGTCTTCGGATGGCAATTCCAAGCGAGCTTTTCCTCTCATTTTACGCCCTGATTACGTCACTTCCTGCCGTTATTTTTATCGCTTCTCCGAGACAAACAGCAATGGGAAGAAAGGTTTCGGTTAAAAATAAATCGGGAGAAAAAAAATTATGTACTCAATGGGAAAATTGGAATAAGATTATTATCATCCGTACCATGTTTTTAGAACTTTTAGCTGTATTAAATGTAATTTTTAGAAAATCGGAACGGAATATTTCCCACGCACCATTTGGTTATTATATTACCGGAACAAAGTAGTTAATGTATGTTTTTTTTCCCCAGGGATTGTGGTAATGAGGGACTGGAGGGAAAATGAAAAGGGGGTGTAAATTAGTTTAAAGAACAAAAGTATTCCCCTTTTTTCATGCTTAAAAACTTTAAAAGTTATTGTCCTTTTTGTTGTTTTGTTTTAACGTGCAATTTTTTTCCAAGAACCCAACTCCATTATAGAGTAGGTTCCCATTTTTCAATATTATTAGAACCGTTTTATAAAAATCTCGTATAAATATTTCGTTGCCAATTTCAGGTGCAGTTTCCTTCCAATATATTTACATTCTGACATCCCCCTGCACTACTCTATTATATCAGCACTAGAAAATTTATGTTTATAATTTATTATTTTTAAATGACATCCTCTCTCCCGAGTCGCGCATGCGCCGTAGCGCGATGCCCCGGGTCGGGCTGAAGGGGGGTCAGACGGGTAGAGAGATAGATATGGCGATTCACGAAACTATGGGAGGAAGTCCATGATTTATTTTGCATGGGCTGGTTAGGACGCAATGCACTGATACAAGATAAGTTTGACGGCGACACGACAATGGAAAAAAAAAGGGGGGGGGGGGAGAAAGGGGGGTGGGGGGGGGTATAGGGCCTGGGGTCGATACAAGGGGAATGTATGGACAAATTCAATATACATTTTTTTAATTGATTTTTTTTTCTGCAATGAGAATTAGTGTAGAAAGGTCGAAAAAACTAAATGAATTGAATAAGGAAAAAAAATAACTTAAGTTCTCAGCTTTAAGTAATTTAAATAAATGTAGCCTACTTTTAAAATCATTCAGAACACTGCATATGGTGTTATTGTGTGGATTTTTAAAAAGTACTTCTAATGAACTACAAACTCACTTACTTTGATATAAAGTGTTTTTAGGGGTTTTAAAAGAACTTGAATTAAAATACACAACTTACTTTAACATATAGTGTTTTTGTGTGTAAAAAAAAGTTCTTTTAACGCAATACTACATCAGATATACGAAGCATATAGTGTTTTTTGTGGTTTAAAGTACTGGTAATGGAATACTAAAACGGTGTTTATGTGCTGTTTTAAAGTACTTGTAATCAAATACAATTTCTGTATTATTTTTATTTTATTTTAAAGTACTGTAATGAAATACAGTTACTGTATTATTGTTTGATTTTAAACTACTGTAATAAAATAAAAATAATGTATTTTTGTGGTGTTTTAAAGAACTTGTAATGAAATATAAATCTGAGCTTTTGTGGTGTTTTAAAGAACTTGTAATGAAATATAACATCTGAATTTTTGTGGTGTTTTAAAGAACTTGTAATGAAATATAAATCTGAGCTTTTGTGGTGTTTTAAAGAACTTGTAATGAATATAACATCTGAATTTTTGTGGTGTTTTAAAGAACTTGTAATGAAATATTACATCTGCGTTTTTGTGGTGTCTTAAAGAACTTGTAATGAAATATAACATCAGAGTTTTTGTGGTGTTTTAAAGAACTTGTAATGAAATTTAACAACAGACTTACTAGAGCAGATATCGTTCACCCGCTTGTAACTCATAGCAACGGCTTCTGCTGGAGTCTTAGGCGGTCTGTACCACGTTCCATAGCGCACTGGAATAAAATAAAATCACACGTTAATTTACATTTTGAGAAAAATAAAATCACACGTTAATTTACATTTTGAGAAAAATAAAATCACACGTTAATTCCCATTTTATAGGGGTTTACACACTTACTGATATCATGCAATATTTTTTAAAATGTGAGAGAAAAAGATAATCACACGTTAATTCACATTTTATAGGGTGCTTACACACTAGTTGATATCATGCAATATTTAAAAATGTGAGATTAATAAAATAAATACATTTTATTTCGCATTTTTTAATGTGTTTACACATTTACTGATATAATAAATAAAATGATTGTGAGAGTGAGATTGCTAAAAATAAAAAGCATTATAATACACATATGTTTAGCCTACTTAACACAACAAATACATAGGTTCTTACATAAACGTTACAAATAAATACACATACACTTTCTAAAATACACAATCATGCTCTTACAAAAACATTACAACATTTTAAAGAACTTGTAATGAAATCATGCTCTTACAAAAACATTACAACCTAAAAAGTAATAATTTCAAAAAGAAGAATCAGGAATACAAAAGAATTTCGTAAAACTTTTAATAAGTGCCTTTTTTTAACATCTTGACCATATCAATATAAGCTTACTGTTGCTAACAAATAATTAAGACTATATAAAAATAGTATGGGCACTCAAACATTCGAAATACTTAATTCCAAAAGTGAAGGTATTAAGTCCACTAAAAACACGAAAGTGTTTTTATTTAATACCCAAAAACTGTTTTTACAAAACTGAAGTTGACAATATAATAATACTTAGTAAGACCTAAACGTAGTTACTTCCCCTTATCAAAGAAAAAATTAAATTAAAAAAATAAATGTTATTTTTTAAATATTTCAGCGTGCCAACTCCCCCCCCCCCCCCCCCTTACTCCCAGAATACAATAAAACTCACATTTACCCTACATCGATTACCACAAAGCGACCTCTTCTCCCGAAAAATCTCAGCCTTAAAATAATATCATTTAAAAATAAAAAGAAAGAGAGAGAAAAAAACTGACAAAAATCGAATATTCAAATGACCCGGGTATTAAGACGAGGAGAAGATTCCTATCATTTTTTTTTCTTCGTTTGACTGCCAATTCTTCATTATCATTCTTGTCGCTGTTTTTTTTTAAACATCGCGTTGTCTCCTCACCAATGAGGGTTTGGTTTGGTTTCCTGACCCGTGGTTCAACCACTCCCCCTCCTCCCTCCCCACCCCTCTTTATTAAAAACACACACCCACACACACATTTTGAAAAAATATTTATTTTACTGTATTTCCTAACCTTACTAAAAACAACTTTAAAAACTGTTGAAAAAAAATTGGAGACAATTTTTTGCCAGTATCGCTATAGACCTAATGAGCAATGACCTCAACTCTAAACTAGCACTAGCAGTGATACTGAAAAACCTGACTGATTATATTACTCATACTGCAGCTATTGTTAAAAACCCCAACTAAACAGATAAGGGTTAAAAAACAAAGCATGTATTCGTATTCGTTATATGCATCCCTGCTAGTTAATATAGAAGTAGCCACATAGCCATACAGATATTTAGCGATAAAAAAGCTTAAAGGAGTCTCAAATCACGCATATTGTCAGAGGCGGAGCGACGTTCACAAAGCTAAGGGAAACATACACCAACAAGATATCGTACAAGGATTTCTATCAGACAAGGGTAAGGGGGTTGGTGGGTGGGGGATGACTTAAAGCTTTAATTGGGAGGAGGCAAACTTTAAGCTTTTGGATATGATTGCTATTTAAATCATTAAAGGAAGGTGCTTAATTAATTTCAGAAAGTGTTGTTTAGAGCTTTCGATTTTATGTGTATGTTTCGTCTTTTGACAAAACTTTTAGCAATTTTTCAGATGACAGTTTTAAACTTGAATAGAAAATATAGTTGTATGTTGTGTTGTAGAAAACGAATATAAGTTTTCGTAAATGAGATACTTATTACTCAAGCCTATTTATTATTATTTTCTTCTTATTTTTTTTCTTTATTATTTATAAAAGCCTTATTTTTCCCCTCTTCTCCTAAGCCTGTGAAACCGTGTCCCAAATTTCGACGACGTCATACCATGCACACCCCGTCAGCGGTGACGTCGACGCGTGTACACCACTCATACACGTCACTTCCTTCTCCTAGTTAATTCCTTGTTCAAGTGTCCTCGGGAGCAAACCTTCAGATCCTGCTTGCCGGCCCCCATCATCCATTCACCGCTGCTCTCCCCTGCTCCACCGGCCATTCAACGCTGCACTCCCCTGCAACAATGGCAGTAATCCCGACGTCTACGGGGTGCCAAAAGATGGCGTCCGCGTGCAAGAATCGATTCCCGGGCCCGTGAGTAAGAAATTACAGGAGATGCTGGTCGCTGTTAATGTCTAGCGCCATGTTCGCCGCACAGTGGGATCCCATTCAGAATTCGGATTAGACGGCTGAAACACGTACTTATCAAAAGCAGTGGCGTAGCGAGGGTGGGCAAGAGAGGGGGGACGGTTCTCCCCAGGCGGTACTTTTCTACATATTTCTCTATTTTTAGTATTTCTTTCTTATTATATATATATATATATATATATATATATATATATATATATATATATATATATATATATATATATATATATATATATATATATATATATATATATATATATATATATATATATATATATATATATATAGGGGACATTTGTTGAAAAATCTGTACTAGTCCTTATAAAGGGACAAAAGAACGGATAGTTCTATTCAAAAACCTAAGTATGTTCGGATGCCATTAAACACATTGCAAATAACTGATGTTACAAATTTTAAAAATATTGAGTGAAAAAGTAAAAAGTAAACCAAACCAAAATATGATATATTACAAAGATGTAATTAATTTTTTTTTCAACAAAAAGAAAATTAATTAAAAACTAAACATATATTTTTTTTTTAAATTGATGTGCCGTATTTTAAATAATTTTCAAAAATATTTTTCTTGTTAATTTTTTATAGCAAAATAAATCAAATACCCTCCATTGTTCTTCAACATGAGGCAACGTATTAATTTTAATTCGTGAAGAGAAAAGATGTGTTTTGCTTTAAATACCCCATACCCCTGAACAGCATAAAATGTCCATTGTTCCCTCCCATTTCTCATTTATTGTCTTTCTATCTAGATTTTTTTAAAAATCCGCCCCCCCCCCCCCCCAACCAAGCATAGAATCAGTAGCTTGCACTGGAGTAATTTTTACTCCGATTGTTATTGAGACAAAAACGAAGGAGGGGGACCCACAGGGAAATAAGGCAGGTCCCATGACGCGCGGTGACAATAATAGAAGAAGACTAGTAAAGACGCCCAGCCGTGGCCTAGCCAGCGAACAATACTTTAAAACTTGGGGATCAGATAGCATCGATTGCTTTTTTTCCCTTTTCTTTCTTCTTTTTTTTTATTTTACAGAAATAACCACTGTAACTATGATTGATGCAACTTAAATATGGGCAAAAATTTTTTTTCCCGAGATTTGGTGTAACAAGCTAACCTCGTTAATGCCTACGTCATTTCTGGTTAGCTCAAGCATTACTAAAGTGAATGTATTGCTCAATTTGTAATTAACGCAAACAAATCAGTTTTGGTTTATTTTTCCCCAATCTATTTTGGGCAAGTTTGTTTCTGGTTACATTTTTACTTAGTGGTAAACAGTAAACATTTTACTTCATCAAGGTTGTACATAGTAAACAAAAGGACACCGCACTAAACACGGAAGTGGTGGGGAGGCGTGACGTCAAAGGCTATGTAGGTGGACTATCAAGAACGCCCCATTTTGTAAAGCTAACTGGTCGTAGTGTTTGCACTCCTGACTCCATGTACTAGTATGTTTGTTCTGTGTTCGAGATTATTTGAAATTGGGTTACTTTGTACGCAAACAAGATTTGAAATTTTAATTTTTTTTACGGTCGGTACAAATAATCTAGTCTAATCATAAACTGTGTAGTCTTTACGTATATTTGAAGAGGATTTCTTTTTGAGCTATAGCTAGCCATTGTTTCTGTCTTATGAAACTGTAAACCATTTTCTATTCGTAAACAATTTCCCTTTGTGTTGTATTACTGTAAAACTTCTTCTATTTGTAAACACATTTTCTGTGTGTAAATAATCTGTTTTAAAACAATTCTCTGTTTATACATAATTATCCTTTTGTAAACACATCCTTAATTAAAAACAATGCCCTAGATGTAAATGATTCGCTTTTCGTAAACAATGCCATATTTGTAAAGGATTATCTGGTTGCAAACAAGAAAATGATTAAAATGCAATAGAAATGGAAATTGCCCTATTGAATGTAAATCGACCAACACGAACTTCTCATAGCAATTTTAACCAAAACATCGAAATGTGTCGTGAAAATGTAAACTTGAATAAAATGTTAACTTGTGTTAAAAGTAAACGACGCTAATCTGTGTAAAGCCCTAATATGTGCAAAATGTTAACCTGTGTAAAATGTCAAATGGCGTTAAATGTTAACATCTGCAAAATGGTAACTTGTATGAAATATCAACCTATGTCAAACGTTAACAGTTGTAAAATGTTACCTTGTTTAAAATGTAAACTTTTGTAAATTGTTAACTTGTATTAAATGTTAACTTGTGTTAACAATGCATACTTGTGTCAAACGCAATATGTGCAGAATGTTAACTTTTGTAAAATGTTAACTTATTTCAAAAGTTAACAATGTTAACAAGCGTATTTATCAGCAAAATGTCAAAGGCGTAAAATGTTAACATCTACTAAATGTTAACTTGTGTAACATGTTAGCTTATGTCAAACGTTAACATTTGTAAAATGATAACTGGCGTAAAATGTTAACTTGCGTAAACTGTTAACTTGTGTAAAATGTTAACTTGTGTAAACACACTACCCAAAAGCCGGCAATGGTTTAATACCTCGGATACATAAATCAGTCCCATGTTTTCCCATCGATTCGCTTAAAA